CATATCGCTGTACTTGAAAGATGTATGAGAAAAAATGTTATTTAGTCAAATTTTATTGAGGCATAGATGATGAACAAAATAAACATTTTATCTTGCATAAATCCATATCACTATTTGATTGGTTGTTATTAATTATTAATATATAACCACTATTTAATTATTTTGTTTAATTCCACTACAATTAGCATGTGTGTTGACTGTTCGGTGTGAAGCGGTTTGGTCAGTCAAAGGCTTCCAAGCTATATCAAAACTCTATTCAATGCCTGATGATGCTTCGTTCAGAGACGTGACATGTGTCAAAATATATGTGTAGATTCAATAACGGTCGGAATTTGATCACTGTTAGAGATTCTCGTAACGGTAGACAAGTTTTCCAACTGAATAGTATAGTAACAAAATTGTATAAATTCATTAAATAGTAAAACAATAGTTATTGGAATTTCAATCTGTAAATACGTGCGCGCTAATCTCAGTAACAGCTTATTTTGATATAAATATTAAAAGATACAAATATATTGAAATACAAAACAAATTAAACGATTTGTTTTCTTCGTTACCATTAATACAACAAATTTCTATAACAAAATTCTATGTACATGGAATCTGTACATACAGATACTGAGCTCGTATGCGATGTTATTATATATACCTATGTATAAATGATTATTGCGTATGATACTCGATATCTTCCCCTATTAGGAACGTATTCTGTTTATTATTTTTGTTGTTCATAAGGTTCAATATCGTGTAGATTTTCCTATTAATTTCGTTATGATATGACTGGTTCCTGTTAAACAAAACATACTTGTTATCTCAGAATATCTTTATCTGCTAGATCACTAAGGCCGTCAATTACAGAAAACAAATCTAAGCAGAGCTTGTATTATGGTTACTGGATAATACAAATATTTACACAAGTTTTTTCTAAATAAAAAAATACATACAAAATATTCAAAGAAAACACCTAGACAAATACAAAGAATCATACTCATGAATACAAAGTTTATACTTTGCGAGGAATCGAACCCGCGACCACTAGAAGTAAGGCCATATGATAACCCGCGAGGGACCGCCGAGCCAAAATTAAAAAATTGTTAAGCTAAATTTTGAAAATATAACAAGTAAACAAACTAACATATATGTTACTACTATTATAAACGTGACAGTTTGTGATTATAGATGGATTGATGGTCGTTATTATTTCACGCAAAAACTACTAAACGTATTTTGATGAAACTTCGCAGTAATATAGGTGTCGATATAACATATAGGCTATAATTTAAAAAGTAATTATAATGAGTGAAAACTGTGATTGGTACACTTTATGCTGTAAATAATATAAATGACGTAGTGGAGTAACTTGAAACAGTCATGCTCGCTACAATGTTCAAACTTGTGGCGGGCGGCGTGGTGGACTGGGTCGATGTGCTCCCTCTAATATGGTTGAGTGCAATGATGGCTGGCTCATCCGTCATACTCGTGAACGGGTGCTGCTTGTGGGGACTGGTCTGTTCTGGTTGCGAACACTGATTAGATTTTTTTTTTATATAACATATGCTAATGATCACTCTATTCTGCCAAATTTGAATTTAAAAGAAATAGTATTATTGTAAATATGTACAACAGTAAAAAAAAATACAGGCTGAGTTTCTTGTCATTTCTCATCTCGAAATCATTCAGAACTGACGGTAGATTTGACATATCATAGAGTCTGTAATAGACCTACATGAATAAAGATATTTTGAAATTTTTTTTTAATGATTAATGTCAACGAAGCATGATACAGAATAAGTTGCGCTGGTCAGTCAGTAATTCAATAAAGGTAAATTCCAAATAGAATATCTCTAAAAGCATTATCATTCAGACAACCGACGAATTTCCTGTATCTTCCACAAAAACAACATTTGAATACACATTATAATTTTACTTGCGAATTATAACCACAATGCAAACATAAAAAATACACGGCGCTCCGACATTGGTTAGAGCACACGAGACAGAAAGCGGGAACCCACGTGCAAACAAAAATGGTCGGCCTTTATCGGATTCCCTTTGTTAATACAAATTGAATATCTGCGCGGTATAAAAAGGCTTTTTGCCCATAATTAATCTAAATTAACGAACGTGAAGGCAAATCTTATCCGGTTCGGATACAGTGTAATATATATTTATCATTACATAGTATGAAACAAAGTCTCTGTTTGTCCGTGCGTATACTTAAATCTTTAAAACTACGGAAGAAGAAAGAAGAAGAAGATTTTGAAGTGTTTTTTTTATTAGATAGAGTGATTTCAGAGGAAGGTTTATATGTATAATACATGTACACCCGGGAGAAGCCGGGGCGAGTAACTAGTAATATATATGCTTATAAAACGTTTTGATTAACAATACCTACACCTATGAATTCAATTACCAGTTTCACCAAACACTAGCAACCTACTCCGGTTTTACATGTATTGTTATTTGTACTGTACTGTATTGTACAATGTTATAATGAAGAAAATAAAACTATTGCTATCCTTCAGATATCAAATCAGAATATCTTTATTCATGTAGATCTATTACAGACTCTTATGATATGTCAAAGTACTGTTTGGGAAAATTGTATAAATATAAATTTGGGAGAATAATTTCTTTCGTACAAACCATGTTTTAACAATTAATTAATTAATAATTGTATTACTTGTAATCTCCTTAAAATATAATATCTGTATGTATATTATTATTTCTGTATAGTAAAATTTTTATTTCATTATGTTATGGTATGGTTGCCTAGTGATTAGGTACGCCCGCGTAGGTACTAACTGAAAACCAGAGTTAGACGCCCATCAGTCCAGCCATAGCTGAGTTTGTACCTATTGCCAATTATAATAAATATGTTTAAATATGTAACTATTTTATTATACTAATATTGGCAATAAATGGATTTATTATTATATACTTGCGAAAGATTTGTAATATACCCATATTACAAATCTATGAATTTCTCATCTATTCTGTACTAAAATATGACTGCATATAAACGATCATCTTGAATCATTATCTCTATTCCTAAGAATTGCATTTAAATCCGTTGCGAATTAAAAGTCTAAGCGTACATACAGTGGCGGCGATTTTTTTTTTATACTACGTAAAGATAAGAAGACACTACTAATAAATGCATCCTGTTGACCTCAGAAAATGTCAAACCAAATTCACCTTAAAGAGGTCGTGAACATTATTCCAAATTTCTTTAATAGTATTCAGCCAAACTTCTATCAAGATATAACACCATGAGATTATATGAATATTTATTATATGTAGTTTAATTTTATATTTTATTTATATGTAATCCATAAACTTATATATTTTATATTGGTATATTAGCATTTTTATATATTTGCATATGTATATATATGTATTATTTTTCTGTATCTCATCATTGTATATATATAAGTCATTCTCTTCCATTCTCTATCGGTGTCATCTATTTGTATTCATATCATTTTCACACAATCTTTTTTTTTTTTTTACATTATTATTTTTCTGTATCTATTTGTAATAATATTTCTTTTTTTTTCTTTTAATGATTTATTAAAGTGCACCGCCTTATTATCCCTGATCAACGCGACGGTTGACTGGTAGAGAATGCCTTCAGGCATTAAGTCCGCCATGTATTCATTTTTGTGTGCAAAAGAATAAATAAATAAAATAAAATAAATAAGAAATGTAGTCTTAATACAATTTTACAATATAGCCAAAGTTATTGTTTTAGGTTGTATGTCTTAAAACTGTAATTAGGCCAATTGGCATGGCACAAGTTGGCAACGCTAACAAAGGCGCGGACAGTAAATTTTCATTGTTATTCAACAAAGTTGCTAGAAGCATAAGACTATTTTATGTAAGTAACGAAATTTAGAATATGTAAGTAACGAAATTTGGAATGTATTTCCTAAAGATACGCGTTCAATAATTTGTCACATTACTCCGAACCTAGAATGCAGTGCAAATTATTTTCTTAATTTCCAAGAACAAATATTTTAGTATCGGAACTTTGACCTGAAGTATTTTTGTGTGGTGATTTTTAATTTGACTAATTGTTCTAGCAATATAGTATAGCGCCTTACTTCTGATGGTTGCGGTTTCGTTTACTAGCATAATGAAAACATTTAGATCATTGTTTATATAGATCTTGTTGTTTTCAGTCTATATAATATATGTATTTACAAAAAAAGTAGTTCTTCTTAGCTTGGAACTATACGGCGCTGTGTGAATTGGCCTGGTTATTACTATTATTATTTGTATAACCCTAACAAATTTAATTAATCTAAGAGCATCGCCTCTTAGATTAATTTGATTAGGTTTGCCCCAAATCACGTTGGATTCCAATATACTGAGCGAAATGTTAAAGTGTCAGGTGCTGTGTTTACTATGACGTCGACAGTTGTTGTGGCTTTAACTCTTCTGCTTTCTCTAATAACAGCTATATTTTATTAGCTATAAGGTATATTATTACTTACTATTACCTGGAACTCCATTCTTTGACACAAAATTTTTTCTCATCACCTATAATTATATTACTAAATTTGTAATTTATGTCCGTTCGTACGTACTATGGGTCTAACTGTACATCTGAACTGTAAATCAGTGCTGGAACTCACGTTTCCAGCATTATACTAAATTGTGGTCACATTCACTCTGTTTTGTAATGTGTGTAGATTATTGTTTGTTTTTCTTTGTCATTATTTTTGTATATAATGTATATGTGCGAGTCAGTAAATTATATTCTACCAATGTTACATCCACCTAATTCATTTTTTAAGACAAAAGACCACCTATGTCTGTCCTCATGATACAATCTATCTTCTTGTAAAATTTCATTAAAATCCGTTCAACTGTTTAGTCGTAACAAGGTAACAAAATAAACAAATTAAGTTAACAAACATTCAGACAGACATATGTATGTATTACTACTGTAATAAGAAAGATTATTGATAAAGTGTTTGTTTCTTTTGTTTCAGATGTCGCTATGGCTGTGCTAAGAGAAGTGCCAATGGAGAAATTTTAAGCATATAAAAATGACGTAGTAGTTTCTCAAATGAAAGCAAATTCAAATATATCTGATGCGGAATAAAGCAATGGGGCCACAGAGGTGATATTCGCAGAAATGGCCACGGATAGACTGCCATTACATCTTTGTAATTCTATAAAACAGTACTGCATAGTGAAGGATAATTTAAAAAATAAGCTAGTTCTTATAAGGAATGTAACAGCGAATTGGAGAAAGAAGCTCTATTCCAAATTGGATGCACAGGAGCGAGTCAAATTAATTTTCTTATTAGTGTTACTATTGACTCAGAATTCTAATGGTACTAGTTACAGTGGTAGTAGAAATTCTATGTTAAGGACTCGAATAATTGGTACGCGATATGGTAAATTACAAGGAGTTATACTGCCTATGGATCAACATAAGTACTTGAAGCCTGTCGAAGCTTATCTCGGTGTTCCTTACGCGACCCCACCTACGGGATCAAACAGGTACGTTCAATTTTCGAGATTTCTATTTAACGCTTGATTTGAAATACGTTTGCTGGAGCAGAAATATCGAGAGCAAAATTGAGTGGAATTATTTTTTTTTGCAAGATATAAACTGGTATGATACGTGAATTTATCTTGGATGGAGTAACATGTTACGTATTTTATGACCTTCCCGTATATAGTCGAGAGTCTCGAGGTATTGTTTTATTTATTATTACTCAATTAGGTACAACATATTCCCTATTGGGTTATATTAATTATATTTTTGTATATATTGTGTAATATAAATCTTATTATAAGAAGTATAATAAGAATTATGTTACTAGCTATCCTGGCAAACGTTGTTTTGCCATATTCATTAATATCGCTATTGAAAAATAGAGGTTTATGTTAGAAGAGTGAATATTTAGGGTGAGCCCATGTATTTTAAAGCTCTTGTCTAAAATTGACAAATAATGATGTAATATATAAGATCACTTTATTATATTCGAGTGACGTATAAAAGAAAATAATAATTTATGTATGTACATTTTAAAATCAAATTTTTATAAAAAAAATTACAGCTACTTGTTAATTAAGATTTGGATATTTGGAAAAACATTCTACACTTTCTATAGAATATATATTTTGTTGTTAATAGTTTTCAGTGTCATTATTTTATATGTAAATAAACTCTTCTTTCATGAATATTTCACTTTAATGAAATGTTTATATACCAATATAGAAATAAGACGTTGTCCAAACTCAGGTCTATTGAACTAAATTGAGAGGTTGATAAGGGTTTGTAGGCTTTCATATTGTCACCCATTTCGGTAGGACATTGTAATTATATTTATAAACATTTTGTAGGCACTTTCAAAATTATACAAATAATCTCTGAACTGGGTCTCTCTAGTGTACGAAAAGAAGACCTAAATAGATGAAATTTGCGTATAAGAATAACACCTTTTTCCTCGTATTAGCCTTAGGTGGTGGTTATGACTTTGTAAATTTGGATTAATATTAAAAAAAATATTATATCACGGGGAGTGTTCTGAGGAATTGTTCGGATTAATACCAGCTGCTGAGTTTCACCACCGTACCATCCGCCAGAAACTGAAATACCATCCTGATCATCTGGATGAATGGCGGTCTTCCACAGTGCGGTTTTCTAGAAACTTTTTGCCTCGCACAACCACATTATGGAATCACCTTCCAGCAATGGTATTTCCGAACCGATACGATATTGAAACCTTCAAGAAAAGAGCTTATTCCTTTTTAAAAGGCCGACAACGTAATTGCAATTCCCCTGGTGTTGCGGGTGCTCATGGGCGGCGGTAATCACTTACCATCAGGTGAGCCGCATGCTCGTTTGTCCCCTGTGTTATAAAAAAAAAAACGCGATCATTTGTGAGTATGTATGGATGTTTGTTACCGTTTCACGTAAAAACTATTCCGCAGGTACAGCTAGTATATCCATGTATAACAATGTAATATATCTGTTTAACATCTTTCATTCATAATATCGAATAATTTTATTGTATTTTTATAGCTATGATCGAGTAAAAACATCTATTATTATTACAATTTATGCATAAGCCTTATAGGAGTAACTATAAGATTATTCTTTTATAAATGTTTTATTAATAATCTATTATAAATAGATGTATAATTCTGTGGTAACAAACCTGAATACTATAATATATAGGCATAAAGAAAAAATAGATTATTTAATATTCATGAATGCAAAATTCGCCAAATATTAAAAAACACTATAGTTTTGCCATAATCTATTATAAATATATATATATACACTAACCTACCAATGTCTTATTAGCTCTGATCAATGCGACGGTTGACTGGTAGAGAATCCCATTAGGTATTTATTTCTCCATGGATACAATATTGTGTGCAAAAGAATAAATAAATAAATATTAATGACTAAAAATAACTTTAACGTTAATTAATAAATAGCGGTAATTATGCCAAGCATGTCTATGTATTTATTTATTTTGATATTTACATATCAATACAATATACCTGTTATAAAATGTAGCATGCACTTGTTCACCTAGTAATAAATAAAAAACTAAAACTCTTCACAAAAAGGACACAATTGTAAATTGCTAAATTAAGTTTATTGTATGTTTCGTTGTTTTTTTACGTACTACATGAATTTAGCTCTATTTTTTAGAATTGAGTTATATATTAAATTTAGGTACATCCATAAAAAAATTGTGATCAAAACAATTAATGAAACATTTCCCAATTTCATTTCCAATTCCAAATATATATGTGATCATATTACAGGCACTTTCGTACATTTGATATTCCCTCATATCGTATTCCTACGCAAAATCTCCACAGAGCAATATGAATAACGATATTTATTTCTTTTACTTTGTTTAGGTTTGCACCAACACGAGCGCCAGCCCCCTGGGACGACGTGAAGACAGTGGACCAAATGGGGCCGGTCTGTCCTCAGAGATTACCAGATATATCAAACGAGACTCAAGCGCTGGAGAGAATGCCGAAAGGTCGGCTCGAGTACTTGCGAAGACTGTTACCGAGACTAAAAAACCAGAGCGAGGATTGTCTGTATATGAACATATACACGCCAGTGCAGGGTAAGTTTCTATTAAAGCGTTAATAGTTACCAGTTAGGTTTCTATTGCTATTTTTATATTCTTCATTTATTGTATGGGTTCCAGTCATTGCGAGAGTGCTTTAAAGAATCAAATATGCTCACCGTTGCTTCTCAATACATTTATGAAAATATCATATATGCCAGGAAAAATATAGACTAAAGAAAGAGTTAGTGATTGCACTAATATAAGCTTACATAACAATAAATAACAATAACTTATTTTACCTAAATGCCGTTTGGCTAAAGTTAGTAATTCGTTTTATGGCAATTGCGTAAGGTTTTTCAATACAGAAAAAAGATTTAAATGCCAAATAAAATACTTCCTTTGCAAAAAAGCTTACTATAAAATTGTAGAATTCGTTAAAGATAATAATGTTTTTACAGAAAAACTTTAAATCCATAGCACTGACAATATTATCTGATTACACTAATAATGAGTGCGTAGCGATTTCTGTATTGATTATCGCGTTCCTTTTACATTCTCATGCATTCCGAATGAGTGGTAGAATCAAAATACGACTGTTCAAAAGTGCGTGTAATAAGTTTATTTGAATAAAGATTATTTTTATTTCTATTTCTATTGCAAATTACTTGATTTAAAAACTCCCGAACACCTACACTAGGAAGAATCGTAAACTTAAGCTGTCTTGTTACAAGAAGATAAATCTGGTTTAGCAGTAGAAGTATTCCTTATTACAAAACGAAGTTTATCTCTACAGCGTGGTTCGTCTATAGTCTAAAGTTAGACCTGCGAAACCTTTAGTTTAACATGAGTCTAAACGCAAAAAGTCAAACGCCATTTTTTAAAATTGTATTGTAAGTTGTTGTTTTTTGAAAAATGGCTTAACTAAATTAAAAATATTGTAAGTAATACAAAATACAATTATAACAATATATAAAAAGCGTTTCAGGCGTCCATAGGCAACTGATTACCACCAGATTAACCGTGTGATTGTTTACCATCGTAGTTTAAAAAGAAACTAGAGTTTACGCATGTGGCTGCATATGTACTGAGCATTTCATTACCTTTACGACCATTAATCCAGATGGAGTAGTCAGAGGCATTATCAACTATGACCTACGATGATCACAAAACTTAAAACGTACATATTTTGTTGCGTTTATTTGTAAATCAAGAAGTAATCTACATGATTCATCATCGGAAGTACTATATTAAAGAGTGCGTAATTTAATACAGATATATATATATTTAATTGTAGGAACTAAGAGAATATCAGCGCTGCAGATTTATCTATCAATATATGTTGAGTTGGTTGCCTCTTCACTTTTGCAACATAAAGCTACCTCCATTTCTTTTATTTGTCGATTTTTTCTGTACCTAATATATGTTACATATACATATAATTAGTAAATCACAGGATCTTACTATGTTTTATTTTTATTGCAACAAACGAAGACGTGTGAATGTACACGAATATGGCTGTCCATAAAAGATTTATTTACCATCCATCCCTTGCTTTTCAGTTTACCCGGCCACGCTGTGGCTAAGGTTCTTGAATAAAATAATATTGCGACTATAAATTGAGATGTAAGCTATCCTATCTTTCAAGTTGGATCAAATTGCATACAATAGTGCAAATGAAATTTCCAGTCGGTTCAGTAGTTTAGGAGTTTATTGCGATGGGAGACAAACAACGTGACACGTAATTTTATATATAAAGATATTAACAGTTTTCGAAAAATCACCATTGAATCACGATAGTTCGAACAAACGATTGCAGGCCATTGTTATAGTTTTCAGTTCATTCGAGTTATGAATACATGAAATAACGATCAATTATTCGAGTTACTGAAAAGCGCAATGTAGTTACAGAGAATATTTTGTACAAACGAACAAAGGGTAGTGAATTACTAGAATAGCTCCGGTTTTATATCGATGTCACAATAGCGATATCTATATCTACAAATCTATAATATTTACTAGCTTTGCCAGCGGTTTTACCTCCATGAAATTTATAGCCTATGAGTTATTTTGTTGTATAAGCTATATTACTGCTAAGTTTCATTAAAATCCGTTCAGTAGTTTTTGCGTGAAAAAGAATTATCTATCGCTTTTTACTCACAAACTTTCGTGTTTATAATGTCAGTAAGATTATTTACTTGTATTGTTCCAGCAAAGTTCGATATAAAAATCTAACAGAATTTATAAATGACATTTGCCACTTTAAAACACATTTCAAATTTTAGAATAATAATAAAGAAATAGAAATAATTGTTTAATCAAATAAACTTAATAAAATATGGTCGAGCGCAGTGATGGCTTTAAAACACATTTGCTCTTATCACTACGACTGATTTAATCTTATTGCAATTATATTTGACCCAAAAAATTAGTGCTTGTTGGTAGTTTGTATTCACACGTTTCGAAAATGTAATTATTTAAAAGAGCAACACACAATTTCTTGCTCGTTCTTCTTGTGATGAGACAGCTTTCCGAACGAGTAGATAAAAAACAAATTGTTATGACTATTCAAAAGTGCTTAAATTAAGTTTATTTGAATAAATGATTTTCTATTCTATTCTATTCTATAATCACTTTTGAATAGTCATATCGTATTTTTTTTATTATACCGCTCATTCGGATGCAGACTCATCATGAAAAATGAGTAAGAGACTTGCGTGTTCTCTTTTAAATGAATGTTGTTCAGCGTTACATATGTATTTATGATTTTGTGTGAATACAAACTGACTATTATAGGTACTATTATATATATATTTTTAAGATTAATATTGTAAATTCAATAAAAATGATTATTAAAAAACCTATACACAAAAATAAAAAATATATATGTATGAATGTAGATACAAGAGGAGATGAAGACAGAAAAAAGAGATAAACCAACCGTGTGAGTGATGATATGTCGAGAAAGGGAGTGAACACTGAGTTGAATGCAAACGAAGATGAATGGACGAGAAAAACATATTAGGTGCGTCGACACCAAATTAATTTTTTATCGACCTGATGGATAGTACCATCGTATATAATACACTAGCTGACGAGCGCAACTTCGTCTGCCTTTCATTTCTCCACCTTTTGCAATATTTTTCATTGCAGCTCCGCTCCTATTGGTCGTTGCGTAATGTTATATAGCCTAAAGCCTTTCTTGACAAATGGACTATCCAACACAAAAATAATTTTTCAATTCGAACCAGTAGTTCCTAAGATTACCGCGTTTGAATAAACAAACAAACTCTTCAACTTTATAATATTAGTGTGGGCGATAATGGAAACCAGGGAGTTGTAGGATATATATATATATTGTATATATTAATATTATAAAGAAACACTACTAACTAGGGCCAGGAAGGGAAACCAAAAAAGAAGAATAGATAGTAGTGACAATTTAGAAGATAATTTTGGTATTCGAAATATAAAGCATATAAAATAGTTATAAACAAATAAGTGGCCTGTATTCCACAATTAGTATACATGAACAGCAGCAGGTTTTTTTTTCGGTGGGTAGACACAGATAAAGAAAATCCTATATTGTTTTGCTCTGGTTTTTAATTGTTTGAATTTTAAATGTTTTATTTTTCTCAACTTTTGGACATTTCAACATAATAGTGTTAATTGCACAGGTGTTACCTACTCACTACTGGCTATGCCACATTGTTGGGTTGACTGGTAGAGATCTCTCTTAGAGATAAGTCCACCTTTGCTCACTTTGTATATGTTTAAGTTTAGAACTGTATTTTAAAGTGCAATAAAGAATATAACAGCATCAGGAATGCCACAAAATTCATAGTGTCAATCTCGGTATTAGTACTGGACTCGAAAAAGACTCCTGCTTTGCGAATCTTAGGAACTAAATTGTTGTCAGACACGACAGTAACAGTACACAATATTGGCGCTACTATTTTACTGTAAATTCTGACATTTCCAACTAAAAGACTACAAAGCAAACCCAATGGCAGAATTAAATGAGATACAGGTACCTATGCAGACTTTGATATAGGATCAAAGATGGAAGAAGATAATCATTCATAAAGATGTTACGAGAAAATTAACATCGGATAACATACAAGTATCCCCACTAATATTTTAAATACGAAAGTATTTCTACCTGTCTGTCGCGCTTCCACCTAAAAACTACTGAACCGATTTAAATAAAATTTAGAACACAGATAGCCTAGAGAAACCTGAGAAAGGGCATACGCTAATGACTTTTTAATTCGAAAAAAGGAATGTTAGGTGTTAAAATGGGAGATGAAAGATTGCTTGAAAGTATCGTCATTTTTAAAGCTTTAAAGTTATTATTTAGGCTATTGATTAAGTATAAATAAATAGGACATTAAAAGTTTTATCCTTAAGTAAAAATTTTATCCTTAAGGGGATAAAAATAATAGATGAATATGAATAATAGATGAAATATAATAGAAATAGGGGATGTAGATCAGTTTGGAAATTCGGCAGTAGCTAGAACGAAACTTTTTCATTGGCGCTTTATAATTAGCCTAAATAATTAAAATGTTATCCACTAGCTATTATTTTTAAATATAATATAATTAAATATTATTATAGCTGCTATTTTTAAAAGCTCGGAAGATTTATACGCAAAATAAACTGCGATTTCACAAGACTAAGTTTTAATATTTCATGTCAATAGTGTTACAAGGAAATAATGAAATGTGCTTTCGGCTAACGGAAATCTTTGATTCCGGTTTTCAATGGCGAAAATTTTAATCACAGGTTCACAAAAGATCCTCTGCCATATAGTTGGTAGGGAGTTCTTTGTTGGGCTGACAATAGACACGTGTCTGTACAGAAGCTGTGTAATGACAAACTGGGTTGTCTTTTTGTAACAGATACCTTTGTGTTGGATGTAATACCGAACATTGGATGAGTTATTGTTCCGTTAATACAACTTAATATTGAACACGTTAAGATCTTAGCAACTGAAACATATATTAGAAATAAAAGGACTCCATTGAAGTATCCTTAATTAGAAATGTCTTATACGTATAAATAATGTGTAGATTAAATTTTTGTCATTCGTCCTACACTAAGGAAAAGAACTATTGAAATAAACTTCATTAATATAAATGTAAATTGTACCCGCCATATGTACTTTTAATTTATGAACATTAAAGTTTTAATAAATAAAATAAATGTAAATGGTAAATGCCAGAAAAAATATTGACCGTTTCAAAACAGTTAACAATTGCTCTAATAAAATCTTACGTAATAATAACAAACTGGTTTTAACTATAGTTTTATGGGAAGCGTTTTTAGATTTTACAACAAATTGCCAGTTTATACTAAATCTGTCTAAAAAAAAATCAATTGTCATATAAGACATTCTATTTCTTTGTAAATAAGCTTATTATAAAATTGTAGAGTTTGTAAATAATAATGTTTTTGTAGTAAACATCTAAAATATTATCTGATTGCACAAAGAATTAGTGCGTAGCGATTTCTGTGTTTATAGTTGCTTGTCTCGTTCTTATTACAGTGTGTTTATTTAAAGCATAATTTATTCAAAAGACCAACACACAAGTTTCTTGCTCATTGCTCATTCTTTTTAAAATGAGTCTGCGTTCCGAATGAGTAGTAGAAACAAAAAAATATGACTATTCAAAAATGTTTATTTAAATAAAGATTATTTCTATGTCAATTTATGTATGACTAGCTGTACCCGCGACAACGTCCGCCTGGAATTTAACTTTATTTTTCTAAAATAAAAGTAGCCTAAGTTACTCCTTATTACATCGGCTACCTGCCAATAAAAGTCCCGTCAAAATAGGTCCAGGCATTTCAGAGATTAGCCGGAACAAACAGACAGACAGACAAAAATTGTAAAAAATGTTATTTCGGTGTAAGTACCGTATTTATATTCAAATGCATGTAGTAAAATACGGTTATTTCAATATTACAAACAGATACACCAATTTTATTTATATGTATAGATATTATGTACTTTACAAAAGTGTGTAATAGATTTTTTTTAATTATTGATTTACTTCCCTCATAATCCTCTTAAAGACCTATGAAGTTGGTTGAAATTGTATTTATATATAACCTGAAATAAATTTGCCCACACTTCATCAAAAATAATTTATTTATATAAGCAATACAATATAAATGAGATCCATGAGAATAAAACACGTGTAGTCAGCGAGCCTGTTTCAATATGGCATGACATTCAATATCTAATGGATCTTGATATTTATATATTGTTTATCGGAGAAATATAGATTCTTTCATAAATATGTATTAACGTCTCAAATAATAAGGATTGTTAAAGTATTTCTCAATAAATGCAAGCAAATCTTGATCATATTCACTAATGTGCTTTTTATTTAATTTATAAAAATGCATATAAGTATATACGTATAGTAATGCGTATAGTATATACTTATATGCATTTTTTTTTGTAAATATATAATTCCTACGCTAAACAGTATTTGTATTATTCGTATCATTAGACAACTGATCATTAACATTAGTGTCTACTAATGACTACTACAGTCCACTGCTGGACATAGGACTCTCCCAAGGCACGGTACTGGGCACGATCTTTCAACTGATACAAATACTTTAATACATTATATAGGTACATATAAAACATACAGAGCAATACAAACAATCATACTCATGAATACTATACGAGGTATCAAACCCGCGACTATTAGAATTAAAACGATGTCCTAAGCTGCTATACCACAGAGGCCGTCAAACTCCGATTAAATAAGTAGAACTAAAACTTCGAAGACTTAAATTTAAATGTATGCTAAAATTTTAGCTAATCCCATACTTCGACATAGGACATGTTATAGGATGAAGTGCTGTCGCGTCTGTAATCTTCCGTAATTCGACAAATCCTATTGGCAGGCAGCACGCTGCACAGACCATAACTTCGTGCTGTAATTTATCTGTGCCAAGTAGTAGGACCGTTTGGCCTATCGTCTAATAAAGTGCCGTACAGGTTGTAAACTAAATGATATAATGCTATTTTTCTACATTAGGAAAACAAAGTTCATATAGGGATTTTCGCTTTGTTGAAAGACTTAGACTTAGATCAGGCCCAATTATTGGGTTAATCTTTCTCAATGCTTCGTTTCCATCGTATTCTGGATGACGCATTTCTTCTCTTTCTTTTCCTAAAATATTATAATAAATAAAATAATGTACTTCAACTACAAATTGTTCGGTGTCTGAATTTATATATATTTAATCTTTTTGAAAAAAAAAAATAACTAGGAAACACACGCGCACGCTCATCCGTTACGTTCGCGGGCTGCTCGTATAATGCCTTTTTTTGTCCGCGTCACTGTTCATAGACCGCCATCTTGTGCCCCAGTACTTACGGAAATATAAACACTATTACTATTGATTTGACCTTATTATAAATATATCCTAACTGATAAATGTAACTGAGTTAGACCTATTCAACTGATCGAGATGTATACAGTAAACCAAGAAAATTATTTGCTGCACTACTATATTATATATCTTATAATATAATAATAAATACTTAGCCTACATAGGTATATAGCTCTAAACAATTCACACAATGCCATCTAGTTCCAAGGTAAGCAGAGCTAGTGTTATAGATACTAGACAATTGGTGATACTTAGATATTTTTTTTGTAAACACATAATATATATAAGAAACCCGCTATAAATAATCATACTCATGAATACAAATGTTTGTATCGTGCAAGGAATAAAACCCGTGCATAATGGAAAAAACGGTGTGCTGCAGTTACACCACTAAGACCGTCAAATTATATATAAACAGATCAATGTACTTGATTTCATAAATGAATAAATAAATATTTACCTTCATTACATCTACATGTATTTGCGGGCTAGTTATACAATTGATAAACTTCAAAACAATTCTACCTATGTAAAACTTTGTCACATCAAGAAACTAACTTATAGCTTTTGTAAAGAACGTTTCTGCATTAGTCATTCCATGGAAACAATATGAAATTCATTAACACTGTTCGCGTCGTTCGCAGAACCTCTAAAGTTACAAAGTGTAATGGCGTCATAAACCTCCATTAAAGATATTTACTTAGTATCTTAATCTATATTGTTACTAAACGTAGTTTAACGATTGTTAACTATCTGTGCAGTCAGTTTTACAATTACTGTTATTAGTTGAAGTATAGTCTGTTTCATTAATCATTTATTCGTTTAACTGTTTGTTTAGTATTATTGTTATAACAAATTACGTTTATGTAGATAGTATATATGCATTAAGCGTTTTTCATCATTTATTAGTATAATTGCTTGAAACATTTGGCTTGAAGCTACTTTTTAGGGTAATTTATATTTATAGTAGGTTTTCCATCTAAACTTTACATTCAATTTTCACAAAATCCGAGCCGAATATTATAATATGGAGCTATTTTATATTCTACATAAAAGCAGTTGGGTTTTGTCTTTCAGAATGAAATATTTATGCTTGAATAATGTAACTAAAAAATATAACAATTAGTGAAAATATTGATTTATTACTTATATAATTATACTTTTGATTTATTATCACCATGTAAAACCGAAAAAGAGAAGGATGGAATGTGTGAGAGATGATATAAAAAAAGAGAGTGAATAACGAGATGACTGCGAACAGTGATGAATGGAAGGGAACAACATATTACGGTGACCCAAATAAATGCGATAAAGAAGAAGCAGATGAAGATATCTACATAGATACATATAAGTCTTTTACACGATACCACTATAGAATCTCATTGGCTTCCATAAATGACTATAAAGGTACTTCTAATTCCTGAAACTTCAATGGCAAATTTCATAAAATCAAAACCCAAGAAGGAATTAGGGAAGTTGCTTTGCGCATTTACGTAGATGACTCCATACAAATTCTTCCGAACTTCTAAAGTTCCGTTTTTTAATACGTACCTCCATTTAAATAGATAGTAAAAACTGCAATATTTCAGACTGTATTTTAATTCAGATAAAGCACGCTCTGTGCTGTCATGCAAACTAGCTGTAACTACAATCCTTGTCTAACATTGTAAAACGTTTTCAGTAAATACTCGTACAATACGTTCGTTTTATCTACGTTTTGCATGACAAATCCGTGGACAATATCAGCTTGGATAAACTGCTCTAAATTTAAATCTGCTTTATTAATTTGATCGTATTAAATTATAATATTTAAATGTATTTTTTTATTAGATTTTTTGGGCAATTAACCTGTGACTGCGACCTGCATAGATCTATTGTGATCGTCCATTTTTAAAGTTCGCTACTAGATTCGTGAGGTATAACAATTGAAGGTTATTTTTAGGAGCGATTTTTATCTTCTTAGGGTAGAGTGTATATTTTAAAATGAGATATTTCGTTTATGCAAGACAGGGCTACAACCACATAGAATGTTTAGTGACGTTTCCTCTTCAGCTTGGCAAAATCTGAAGATGATCTAAATGTATTACAATAACTTATTTTTTAATTGCAATAGTAAAGAAAAGAACGCGCTGTATTAAATTAGTATTCAAATGTGTAATTTATCAAATTGTAGTTAGCCGTCGAAATTCGTTCAAAATTAATTTAAATAACAAGTTTGAATATTATGTTACGTACATTAAATAATAAATTAAAAGAATGTTTATCTATCTGTTTGTTCTTGCTAATTTCTGAAACGGCTGGACCGATTTTGATGAGACTTTCACTCGCTGATGACTAATGTTATAAGGAGTAACTTTTTTTTGATTCCGCGGGGATAACACCTAGTTATAAATATTATTTGTATGTATTTGTTGCAGTTGGACCAACACTCCAAGCCAAATATCCCGTAGTCATATTCATCCACGGCGAATCCTTTGAATGGAATTCTGGGAACTTGTATGACGGCGCCGTGCTGGCGAGCTATGCAGGAATTGTCGTTATCACCATAAATTATAGACTCGGAATATTGGGTAAGCAAAATTTATTTTACTGAAAAATCTAAAGCATGCAAGTACAGAGTTAGTCTGAAATATAAATTAACATATATAATGGTATTTTATGTTCGAAGTGCCTAGATTTGAACTCACGATCTTTTGACTGTAAGTATGCGAATAGAGTGAAAAAAAATTACATATTTAAAAGCACTAATAAATGTTCATGCATACGATTTTATTTAATGTTAAACATAGACACCTATTTAATTATACAAATGTAAATAAACAGACTTTAAAAAAAACATATGACTTTCTTGCTAGTACTCGATTGAATCTATACACTGAACTGGACGGTAGGTTAAAAAATATTAATACAAAAACTTGACGTTCATAAGCGGATAAAATATATATATATGTAACTGTAAAATATGTTACTGTAAGGATATATAATAATATATGACTGTTAAAACGAAATATTGAAGCATATATTTCATTAAATAACGAACATATTGAAGAATGATTGATGAATGCTTTCAAATAAATACGGAAATATCTCCTGAAAATTATTTGTTTCAGAAATAAAATAAACTCAATTACTCTTTCAATAGGGTTCATCATTGAACAACGAATTCTTTAAAAATATCAAAAATTCATTTTTTTTTTCTTTTGTATAGTATTTATTGTTTTTCTGCGTTCATCGTTGATTAATAATTTTTAAAGAGTTTTTTGTTTACCTTTGAAATATTGTAATTCTTAGATTGATAGTGAACGGTTTAACATACACTTTCGCATGATATCTGGTTTTAATTACCGTTAAATTTAACAAAATATTCATGAAATTCTTTTCATTTTGTTAATGACATAATAAATATTAAAAACATTTTTTTTAAATAAATGTATAATATATATAACCCGATACCACCGAGGCCGTCAAAGTCAAAATACGTTTGTGGCATTAAATCGCTGCCGAGGTTTTCCCGCGAGACTACACTGCATAGGGTTTTTCAAGAAGGGTATATATTAGGGTTTTTTAAGGATCGGCAACGCGCACGTGACACCCCTGATGTCTCAGGCGTCTATAGGCTACGGTAGCAGTTCACCAGATGGGCCGTATGCTTGTTTGTCCACTATAGTGCTATAAAAAAAATCTGAAATTATGATTTTTAAGTAGTTACAGTTATTCTCCTTATAAACTATTACATTTTTGTTAAATACACATCATACATATAATTTACCAGTAGCATTTATACTAGGCCGAGGCTGTATCATAGATACTACCTTCTTCCAGCGACGATGATGTCCAACATAAATGTAATACATTACTGTATCTCGTGTTTGCTCAATTTTAAAGTTAACCTAACAAACAACGCCGCGGGTATATATATATATCTTTATATAATAAAGCCTCTCTAGATATGATTAAATTGATATTCTTTGAAATTTATAAATGTATATTCTTTAAAAATCTCCCAAAATACCAATTTAATATTTATTATGGAGTATTACTTTTATTACTATGTTTAATATCTAATGTTAAAATACCATTAATTATACAGTCCCAGATTAAATGTTAATTTGTTGTTTCAACTTAATATAAATATAACATTAAGTTTTTCATACTATTTTCCGACATAATAGAGATATACTTTGTACTCTACTCTGTCTAATTATTTTAATTTGTTATCGGTGCTTCCATCAACGGAGAGTCATTAAGAAATATAAATAGACACACAAAAACCTTTTTAGACATGCAAACTTTATGATCTAAGTTGATGTAATAACCCACTGTGACAAAATCAAAATCAATTTATGAACGTAATTTTTTTTGTATTTTCATTTTTTCCTACCGTACCTATGGTGACACTCTCTCAAATTGTTTTAATTAATGTTATGCAAGAAGATGGTAACCTCTACCTCATACCATCTAGTGACTTTACGTGATCTGATTAAAATGTTTAGAAATAATTTTAATGGATTATAAAGAAATTGTATTGGCACTAAAGGTTTAAGTGGAGGATGATAAGATGAGCATGAAGTCAGATCAGTTAATGGTGACTAATTCTCAAGGAACCGCGTGGAGATCAATCTGGTATATGGCTAGCTGAAGGGTTACTAGTCCACATTACTAACAGTCTCCTTCCCGATCTAACCTTATTAACATTCTAGTTAAGATAATTAGAAAAAAAAATTCTAGGCTTTCTAAATGCAAATCCGATACCTCATTTAAAAGCGCGTGTAGCCAATTACGGTTTGATGGATCAAATCGCCGCATTACATTGGATCCAACAAAATATTGCGCTATTTGGAGGCGACGCGGGCAATGTCACGATGTTGGGCCACGGCTCCGGTGCTGCTTGTATTAATTTCCTGATGATTTCGCCTACTGTTATGCCTGGTAAGTATTTTTAAATTTAGAACAAACCGCCAATTTCAAATTTAGAATACTCTATTTGATATAAACTACCACTTTCAAATTTAGAATGCTCTGTTTGTTATAAACTACCAATTTCAAATTTAGAATGCTTTATTTGTTATAAACTACCACTTTCAAATTTAGAATGCTGTATTTTCTGATTATTTCGCTTACTGTTATGCCTGATAAGTAAATCAAATTTAGAATTCTTTATTTCTTATAAAATACCACTTTCATAATTACAGTGTTTTTTTTCTGATAATTTAGCTTACTGTTATGCCTGGTAGATAATTTCAAATGAGTTACTTACATATTGGAAACTGTATTTATTTTATAAAAAAGTGAATTCTACACGGATGAAGTCGCGGGTAATAGCTAGTATTTAATAAAAACAATACGATAATAATCTGCTGTTTTTTCAGGTCTGTTTCACCGAGCAATCCTACTATCAGGTTCAGCTTTAAGTTCATGGGCATTAGTCGAAGATCCCGTCAGTTATTCCGTCCAACTAGCAAAGCAGTCTAACTGCACGCTTCCAGAAGACATCGTCAAAGACCACGAACTGATCGTGGACTGTCTCCGAGAAGTGCCTCTTGAAGAACTCATGTCTGCAGAAATCAATACACCAAGCTACCTCACTGCGTTTGGCCCATCAGTGGACGGCGTAGTAGTCAAAACAGATTATGCGAAAGAACTACTAACTTTCTTCATACCAAACGACCTCCAAGGTTTTACAAGTGTATCTGGAGTTAATAATTTTAAAGCGGACAAAAGAAGCGGAGATAGGATATTTGGGATTAGGGGCGGTCAAAATAAATACGATCTACTGTTTGGAGTGGTTACTAGTGAAGCTCTTTGGAAATTCTCGGCTCAGGATATACAAAATGGATTTGAGGGCGAAAGGAGGGATAGAATAATAAGGTAAGGGCAATGTTTATTCAGCAAATTGGTGTTCGACCGCAAGGGTCTTATGAGGCGTCTCCATAGGAATGACCATTAATGAAAGACGCTTGAACCATGTTTGCAGTCGATATTGGCAGTATTGTAATATCAATGGAAATAGTTCTTGTTAGCTTTGCGCGCAGTTCAAATATATCTTTTTTGTTAGAATTAATCGATCAATATTGGTCTTAGAAATGTATAGGTACATGAATAAAATATTATCCAAAATCATATGATTAAATAAATAATCCTGGACAATTAACACAACGCCATCTAGTCCCACGGTAAGCAGAGTTATGCGTACTAGACAACTGGTATAAATATTTAGATTTTATTTATGTAGACTGATGTAAACAATTATACTTATGAATACAAATATTTCCACCGTGCGAGAAATCGAACCCGCAACAATTGGAAGGAAATCAGTTTGCTAGACTACCTAGACTCTCGATTTGACATATCATAAGTCTTTATTAGACCTACATTTAATACCGGCTGCTGACTTTCACCACCGTACCACCCAGAAACTAAAATACCATCCTGATCATCTGGATGAAAGGCGGTCCTCCACAATGTGGTTTTCTAGAAACTTTTTGCCATGTACAACCATATTGTGGAATCTCCTTCCAGCAATAGTATTTCCGAACCGATACGATACTGAAACCTTAAAAAAAATAGCTTATTACTTTTTAAAAGACCGATTACGCACTTGCCCCAATACCTTTGGTGTTGGGTGTTCATGGGCGGCGGTAATCACTTATCATCAAGTGAGCTGCAAGCTTGTTTGTCCCTTTTGCTATAAAAAATATATTTATATAATTTTTGTTTGCATGTTTATAGTTTTCTATATAATTTTGTCAGTACCATATATCAAAAATATTCAAAATCGTCAAATATAACGGCCTTCTTGTTTCTTTTCTGTAATTACGGTAATTACTACTTCAGTTATTATCAAACTTTTGTGTTTGTACATCTCCATATTCTATTATAATGCGAGTTTAATGTCGGTACTTATTCCAGTGGGAATGTTTCAGTGCGAATGAAAATATAATTTGATGGTATATTTTTTTACCAGGCCTCAGGTATAATCTGGATAAAAATACTCTAATAAAACCCTAACATTTGCGGCTTAAATCCGGTTTAAGAGCCTTTTGCTTAATTACAAAAATTCATGTATCGTTTATTAAAAGAAAAAATCTGTGCTTCGTTTTAAAGAGTAAAAAGGGTTCTCTTCATGCCTCTTGTTATACTATAACTATTAATATAAAAAAATATCTATTTAGAAGAGCAACAAACAAGTTTCCTGCTCATTCCTGTTGTGATGAATCTGCATTACAAATGAGTTGTAGAACCAAAATATGACTATTCAAAAGTGCTTGTAATGAGTTTATTTGAATAAAGATTATTTCTATTTATATTTCTGCTGCTTCGGTGGTACTTTCATTTTACAAATACGGCTGCTGAAAGAAATACGTAATATTAATGGTCCATCCATTAAATATTTCATATCAAATCGTTGCTTGATTTAGTACAAGTAAACGAAGTAATGAAACGTAAAATACAGCCAACACGTCAACGAAAATAAACATACCTTATTTTGTACTATTTATCTATATAAATAAATGAAATTAAAGTGTCCGTTTGCCATTTCTAATTAACATTTCACTAAATGCATTTTACTAAGTATATATGCTACTTATCAGAAACAAATTGCCCATCTGTTTGTTCTTGCTAAACTCTAAAATGGCTAGACCGATTTTGACAAGTTTTTTGACAGTTGTAAGAAGTAACTAAAAGTAGCCTACTTTTATTTTAGATGTTTTAATTATTTTATAAAAAGTGCATACGGTACTTACCTTTATCAAAAACTTTATTGAAACAAATTGTCCGTCTGATTATTCTTACTAATTTCTAAAACGACTGGACCGATTTTGACAAGTCTTTCACTCGCAGATAGGTAATATTATATGAAGTGACATAGACTACTTTCATTTTAGAAATTTATTTCGTTTTAAAAACAAAATGAAAGAAAGTAATTACTACGGATGAAGTTGCGAGTTCAGTTAGTACAGCTAGATAATATGTTAGATAATATGTCGTGATAACTACTATGTTGTGTATTTTACACAAATCTGCTATTAATTACAAACAAAAAGTATTTAAAATAATAATTTTCTTTCAGGACATATGTCAGAAACGCATACACATATCATTTGAGTGAAATATTCTTTACAATAGTGAACGAATACACAGATTGGGAGAGAACAGTTCAAGTAAGTATATAGTATATTTAATTTTAATTATAATATAATTAAATTTAATTAATCAATAATTAAACCATTCCTGTGTACGTTCATTCATATCTATTTTATATACATAAGTGTATATAATTTTATATATCCACTCATGAGCCACCTACTCATTTTTTTTATTATTAATGTTTTCATTTTGTTAATAGCTTTTCTATATTGCAATAAAGTGATATAAATAAAGTTAATAAAAAAATATTTGTATTATATAAATACTTTCATTACAATGATTTTTCATTACAATAACTTCATGATCATACTCGGTATAAATTTCAAACTTGTGGCAACGTGGTGGATGACGTTGAGTGCAATGACGGCTTGCTCATCCGTCATACTCGTGAGCGGGTGCTGTATTGGGGGACTGGTCTGTTCGGGTTATGGACAATGATTAGACTATTTCCTTTTGACAAAATTCCAATAGCATAAGCTGGTGGTCACTATATTCTCCCAAATTTTAATTATAAAATGAATCTGTATTATTGTAAACAACTACAAGCTCCTTTGAAAAGAATAAGGGCTATTTCTGGTCAGTTCTTCTTAGCTTGAAAGCACTCCGAACTGAAAGTAATCAAATGTCATATCCTAAGAATCTGTAATAGACCGACATGAATAAAGATATTTTGATTTAGAAACTTAATATTTCATCAATAAAATGCTTTTTACATTGGCTTAGCATCATTCCAGCATCTGTTGCCCCGTATGATTTGGCACGGCACTACAAATGTATTCGTGCCAAATTTCTATATTCAAATGATACCGTTTTTATTCGGGATAAAAAAAATTGTTTGTTTAGAACCTTATACAGTGTCTTTAGCTTCTGAATTTGAAGTAGCCCTATAACCTACTATAGTTTGAGAACTAATGTATTCATATTTTTTTTTATTATATTTTTAGGTAGGATAATTAGGTATATCTGTTCCCATGGTACAGTGAACTCTACCAGTATTACACGTTTATTTTTTATATATAGAATATATTAATAAATATTATTAAAACAGTGAAAGAATTTCTTAAATTGAAGCAGTAACTATAGAGTTTAAAATTTATTAATAAAACCGCTTTATTCTTTATTACTAGCTATCTACTCCGGCTTCACATGGGTGTACATATAAACCTTCCTCTTTAGTCACTCTATCCATTACTAAAATCTCCATTAAAATCTGTTCAAAAGATGCATAGTGCATGCATTGCATTGCATTAAAATCCGTTGCGTAGTTTGAAAGATCTCTATTTAATCGAATTAGGTGTTATTTTGCGGAAGTCCATTTCCCTACTCGATGGATTCATATTATTTTGTTTAATTCCGCTACAATTAACATGTGTGAGACTACGAATATTCGGTGTGGAAACCTGACCAGCGCTACGACCTTCTCCAGTGGCGATCAAATCCCGACCGTTATTGAGTCTACACCCATATCGCGACACGTGTTTCGCCTCTGAACGAGGCATCATCAGGCGTTAAATAAAGTTCGGGTACAGCTCGGAAGCCTAGTGTTGACTCATCGGCGACCAAACCGTGACTCACGGTTTGGTCGCCGAGTAGTTAAAAGATCTCAGCGAAAAAACAGCGAAACCAACTTCATTTTATCCTATGTAAAGATATAAATAAATCGTGTACTATCAGAAAACGTAAAATATTTAATACAAATGTCAATACATTATCAAATTGTCTATATTAATGAAAATTAGCAGTAAATATATGAGCTGCCTCATTAAAGGTTCTACCGTGAATAAATAAATATGTATCACGGAATAATGTGGGTGTAATTCCAAATAGAAATCAAACTTTTGGTATATACTTCCAATACATTTCGGATATAATAATGAAGTATCAAAATACAGCCCATTATGTAAACACTATTCCAATAATCTGACCAAAAATTACAATATCCCAAGCCAATAACCAATAAGATACTATTTACATTATATATCGTATAACAGAAAGGGCCCTGAGGGAATCTTGAATCCAGGAATAGTATCAAACTAAACCGGTTATCCAAAGGAATATAGCTCTCGAAAAATATTTGAATCATTCATACTAATTTAATAATATAATAATTCGTGTTATCTTGCATGAGAAGTCATTATCATTATCTGCATCTTCCTTATCCCATTTATTTGTGGTTGGCGTAATATGTTTTTTCTTCCATTCATCCCTGTTCGCAGTCATCTCGTTATCTACTCCCTTTCTTATCATATCATCTTTCACACAGTCCATCCATCTCTTTTTCGGTCTTCCTCTGCCCTTATAACACATCCACACATCCACTTTCATATGTATGTAACACCGTCTTTATATACCTCGTTATGCCATTATCAACACTATTATATATAGAGTTTTGGCGACGGCTCAAATACCGGCAGTGCTGAAGAGTAGTGGTAGTACCTAAGTAGTTGTTTGCGAAAATGGGAAACGGCCTGACGTTATGACCTCGGTCCAATGGAAACTAGAAAAATGTTTAGTATAAGATCCCACGTGTGTGGATACATTGGCACCAAGTTATATGTCTGGATTGTCTTCTCGTCCTAGCACAGCAGCGAAGCAGGCTGCAATTTTAAAAGACGAAAAAAACGTATCTGAAGTGGTCATATTGGTTTTTGCCATTTGCCGTGGAGACGTTGGGCCCATGGAGCCCGGAAGCGAAATTTTTTTTGACAAGTATTAAAAAAAAAGAAGTTTCAGCGCGGCTCAACGAGGTTACTTGTAACTGGAGCTGGTAACTACTTTTTCCTAGAGGCTAAGCATGGCCATTCAATGAGGCAATGCTGCCAGTATCTTGGGTACGCTGACTCGATGTGGCGCGAATACAATGTTTTTTTTTTAAATGTTTATTAACATATTATAAAATTATAATAAATGGTTCATTTGATAATATTTCAATGAACTATTCAAAACAATGAAGAGGTTTCTTTATTTCTAATATTTTATTTTACATATTAGATCAACATCTAAGCGTTTCCCATTGGAAACCATCTTGATATGTTTCTGGTAAATTTGTCACGATGTGCCAACTGACTTGACCTATAATCCTCCACTGGTGCCCTGCCAGCGTAAACCGTTAATACGCCATTCCATAATAAACCATTTAATTTCATCTCATTATTACGAGTATATGTAAATATGTTTCAATACATTAAGCTACCTCAAAATTATTGGATTAAATTGAATTACGACACAAAAATAAAGTTAAAGATTGTCAAGTAACGTCAAGTGAGTAAAGTTTGACTTGGCTTGTCTCTTTATGGCTTCATTTTAATTTACTGCCGCTGTCACTTTGTTTAAAGGGAATTCAATTTATTTGTTTGTTCCCACTCCTTTTTTCTTTCTGATTAAATTCTTTGCGAGATTTATAAGACAGCCGTATCTTTCCCCGGAGTCTGTAAGGTTTATCGCTCATAACGTTGAATGCTGCTACTATACTGCTTTAAATTTAAATTTAAAAAATATAATATTTAATTTTCTACTATTGTGTGAATTTTTTGTCTTCTGACAGGAACTGGCCTTGTGCTGCTCCATAAGTCCTTTCGCGGGTTTGTAGTGCCATCTGCACTCTATCGTTCAATGAAGCAGTAAAGATAAATGGCCAACAAACTTTTTTTTTAATTGTAATGGCAAACAACTTACAAGGCTTGTATATATTTGTACATACACTAACTACAGCACCTTGGTGATAGCACTTACAGGTTGTCATTACAAAGGACTAAGATTACATCTCTAATCCTGTAAGTTCACTACGTAACCGAAACAAAATAACTTTCAAAGCTTTGCTTTATTGGGATTTTATTTATGCAGAGGGCAAATATGGAAACACCATTTTATTCGCAGTCGTCTTTTTATAAATTATGTTTTCTCTTTTTATATACAAATAATATATGTCAATATAACAAAGGAGTTTAATGACATATTTTAAATTTAATATTGTAATGGGTGAAAATTGTGATCGGTACAGCATATGCTGTAAATAATATGATTGACGTAGTGGAGTAACCTGAAACAGTCATGCTCGCTATAAAGTTCAAACTTGTGGCGGCGTGGTGGGCCGGGTCGATGTGCTCCCTCAAATATGGTTGAGTACAATGATGGCTGGCTCATACGTCATACTCGTGAACGGGTACTGCTTGTGGAGACTGGTCTGTTCAGGTTGTGAACACTGATTAAATTTTTTGTTCTTTGCGATAGCATATGCTGGGTGGTCACTCTATTCTCCCAAATTTGAATTTTAATGACTGTATATTATTATAAAGATGTTCCTGACGGTAATTTGACATATCATAAGAGTCTGTAATAGACCTACACGAATAAAGATATTTTGAATTTGAATTTGAATTTGTCCAACATGCTTAGCGGCTGAAATATGTGAGACTGAGGTACCCAGACGACATTTTCCAGTCTACATCTATCACAATTTAAAATATCTAATTATAAACAAAAATATCATCCTAGGCATTTAGATATACATATATTGAAAATTTTGATTTTTTGTTTGTAAAATTCTTTTATAAATGCAAGGAATAATTAATATTAAGTCCATATATTTCATTATAAAATTAACAAACATATTTTTATCCCTAATTGACATGTTTCATATATAAGTAAAAATAGTTCATTAGAAAAATACGTAATTTTTTTATATTTTATTTGTAAAACTGATTTAGAAGTGCAAATTAAATATACATATAATGAAAAATTTGATTTTTTGATTGTAAAATTCTTTTATAAATGCAAGGAATAATTAATATCAAGTCCTTATATTTCATTATAAAATTAACAAACATATTTTTATCCCTAATTGACATGTTTCGTATATAAGTAAAAATAGTTCATTACAAAAATACGTAAATTTTTATATTTTATTTGTAAAACTGATTTAGAAGTGCAATTTAGATATACATGTAATAAAAAATTTGATTTTTTATTTGTAAAATTCTTTTATAAATGCAAGGAATAATTAATATTAAGTCCATATATTTCATTATAAAATTAACAAACATATCTTTATCCCTAATTGACATGTTTCGTATATAAGTAAAAATAGTTCATTACAAAAATACATAAATTTTTATATTTCATTTGTAAAACTGATTTATAAGTGCAATGAATAATTCATGATCAGTCCAAATAAAATAAAATAAACATTACAAACATGTTATCACCTCAAATTGACACATTTTTTTATTTTTATTTCAATTCATAATCATATTCATAATTTTATTTCATAATTTAATATAACGATACAATTCTCCCACGTACTTATGCAAGTAAATATTAAATTATCGAGAAAATTTTGCGAAGCGCCCGCCCGAGTTTCATGAATACAACATGAATTATTTATTTATAAATTGATAAAATTCATTTTTATAAATATGCAGCTCATTGAATCCTTTTAATAATTATTTGTTATTATATTTCAACTACTATTATTGACTTCGCGTGATGAAGTGAATGAAATTTATTCCACTACTCATTTTTGTCGTCAGCTTTTCTTTGAGATTCTCCTTTTTATGTAATTATATTATTAATATTATGTGGCTCTAATTATCTTTAATTGTCATCTTTTGTACAATGTTTTTGAGAAAATAAATTATTATTATTATTATAATGATAAACAAACTGACCTGTTGGTAAGCGGTAATCGTCACCTATATATGTGACTAACACTACGAACATCACGTTATCATATGACAACCTTGATGCTACTCATGCGTTACCATTCTAAGGGACTAGGATGTCATGCCTCTTAGTTGTAATTATCATTACATAGTATAAAACAAAGTCGCTGTCGCTGTCTGTCCGTCCCTATGTATGCTTAAATCTTTAAAACTATGCAACGGATTTTGAAGCGGTTTTTTTTAATAGATAGAGTGATTCAAGAGGAAGGTTTATATATATAATACATTTACACCCGCGCGAAACCGGGGCGAGTAGCTAGTAACGTATATGTATATCCATATCATTTGCGAGATAATAACGTAAAGGCATGATTTTGTATAGCGTTATTATTATTGTATTGTTTAATTTTCTTAATTGAGAATACATATCTTTTCACTGAAATTGTTGTGACGTAGTTTGCAGATAGCCCTTTATTCGAGTTCTCAATTATTTATTTCGTTTCAGCACCCAATAAATACAAGAGACGCTGCTGTTCTAGCCATCTCTGATGCCCAGTATGTAGCACCATTGGTCCAAACAGGAGATTTCCTAAGCGTCGCGAAAAGCTCGCCCGATTCCGGACCAAACACTTTCTTCTACGTATTCGATTATCAGACGAAGGATGGTGACTATCCACAGGTGAGGTTATAGTTATTTATACGTTATTATACATAATTATATATTTTAATTGATATGGACACACCAAATACACGGACGGACTTATGGAGCGATAAAGACTAAGTTTTGAAATGATATTTCTATTATTTCTTATCTCTAAATATACATTATATAGGCTATACTTTAGAAATGAATAATTCCTTCCTAAAAAGAAAGCAATGCCAGTATTGATGAGATTAACTGGATCGCAACAACACTAGAATTGCTTAAAGAAAGCAAAAGGAGGTTTGAATTGACACAAAATCTTAAAAATGTAATGGTGAACAACATTTATTTAAAAGAGCAACACCCAAATTTCTTGCTCATTCTTCTTGTGATGAGTCTGCGTTCCGAATGAGTTGTTTAATAAAGAGAATATGACTATTTAATAATGCTTATATTAGGTTTATTTGACTAAAGACAATATTTTCTATTTCTCTATTTCAGTGCTCATAGTATTGGCATTTATTTGACAATCTGGAGATATGTTCGCAATAAAAAGAATAATATTAAATATCCGAAGGTATTTGTACAATACAGATACAATTTATAGCGAACCAACAAATAACTCAATACAGAATCTCCATTTCGAATGCAGTCGCAATAAACTTGAAAATAAATATGGCAAACATATACGTTAGGATATTTGTTCAAAATCCAATGCAGGAATTTAAAATTTAAATTCAATTTTAGAGAATGGGGTCGGTCCACGGTGAAGAATTGCCGTATTTGTTTGGTGCACCGCTGGTGGACGGGATCGGCCACTTTCCGAAGAACTATACGAAATCTGAAGTGGCATTATCTGAGGCTTTCATTCTGTATATTGCGAATTTTGTGCGCACTGGGTGAGTTGAATTTTATTACTCCTTTAATATATTTTATGCGAATCGCAAACAAATTGATAGCCCACATGATGCTAAGTGGTAAACATCGCCTATAGACATTAATTTATCATGTACCAAAACCAAAATAGCAGCTGATTGTCTTGCCAGTTCTTCTCAATTGAATCTGTATACTGAACTGGACGGTAAGGAAAAAAATATTAATATAAAAAATTTGACGTTCTTAATGGCAAATTCAGTTGAGTTACTTGCCAGTTTTTCTTGTTTGAATGTGTATATTTAACTGGACGGTAAGGAAAAAATATTAACACAAAAATCTTGACGTTAATGAGCAGCTAGTATATATAAATTATTGACATAAATAAATGATTTATGATTTGATTTGACTTCATTTGACACACGTATTATTTATACATTGTCATTCCAGAGGTCTTGGAGGTCAGGTCTCGTGTACTTTAATTATCTCGGATCCTGTAATTTCACTATCTTGTAGTCTGGCTAACATTAACATTTTCAAACCACAACTGTTTGATGTCGTCTAAGTGCAGGAATGATTAATTAACACCGAACATAGAACTTAACACTTTATTTATGTAACTATTAATTATATTGCACAGAGTAAGTGATACATGGGACAGTAAATCAATGTCAAAGAGGTATGGTTATTGTTGCCATTATGTAACATAGAATTAGTCAATACAAATATTTCTACTGGCATTGCCGATACAACAACAACATCCAACGATGTCGTACTTACTTTGGAAAAAATAGTAAAATAAAATATATCTGCAATAAAATATAATATCTGCACTCATCTCACTTTATTATTTGTTAACAAGCAATTGCCAATCAAGCATCTTCGAAATTCGAAAAAGTTCTAAGAGAGAAGTTCTAGAAGTAGACGCAATGGTCTCTGTCTAACACATAAGGTACCTGATGTAAAGATAGATCGACATTGCACCTAATAACCGTAATCATTAACTTAACTGCATGAAACTGCAAAACTGCAGACTTAATTAAAATGTTACATGTCTGCGGAAGTATGTTAAATAGCAGAACTTGTGCAACCAAAGGCAGTAATGAAAACACAGTTCGCTGTTAAATGTGCAATAAAATTATAATAATATAGATACAGTTTATGCAAAGATGCGCGGGGTATGATAATAGCCCGCAGTGTAAGAAGGAATAAGGAACACTATTTTTAAAAGAACATACATTCGAAGTTTATTATATATTTTTATAATAATAATTTGACGACCTCGGTGGTCTAGCGATCTAGCACACCGCTTTACATCCAATGGTCGCGGGTTCGATTCCTCGCACGGCACAAACATTTGTATTCATGAGTGATTGTTGTTTGTATCGGTCTGGGTGTTTTCTATGTATATGTATGTATTTACGAAAAAAAAAATCTATGTATTTGTATCAGTTATCTAGTACCCATAGCACAAGCTTCAGCTAGCTTAACTTGGGTCTAGATGGTGTTGAGTGAATTATCCTGAGATTCATATTTCTCGGAATATATATTAAGGTCAAACTCTATAGAATCGCGAAGGTTTTTATTATAATATACATGTCTTTGTCACTGTACTTGTGCATGAATATTGAAGAATCTTAACTTGTCCCTTACATGCCAGACTGCTTGAAAATAGTTTTATTAAAACCACGATGTGGGCAAATAAGCATATAGCCCATTTGATGGTTACTATAGCTTATGGACAGCTAAAACAGCAGGGGCGTCATGTACACTTCCAATGGTTAAGAAGTCTTACTATACCATTCTAGAAAAGCCCCATGCTATAGACATTAGAGAAAACATTAGTAGGTAGTTCATTCCACAATCTAATAGTATGTGTAAATTTAAAAGGAAGTTAGCCTACCTGTAGAAAAGTCTTGAATCTAGATGCTATATTAGACGTCGTCTAATATTAGATAGGATATGGTAACAATCATATAATTCCGTTGCAATTTGAATCATGAGCATCACGTATTTTTCATGTTTTACCATAAAAAAGCTATAGTAATCTTGATAAATTACACAGACTAACCTAATATTATGTCAACCTTTTCTTTTCAACAAAAACCTTCACGTAAGAGTAGGGTAAATGCTCTTGCTCATGAACATGCCCAGCAGTGCAAATATAATAAATTCTTACAACAATATTTTAATTTTATAACCTCTTCTTTTGAAGTTACATAAGTTTTCAATCCTTTTCAAAGCCCATACAAGTATTTTATATGATTAAATTATTGAAATTGTATTTAATTACGGAGTTCACTTAATAAATCCACTTAATATTATATTAAGTAGATTTATTATCACTATCCTGTTTATGAATTAGTCTTTTTATAGTTTCGGTATAACCCGAACAACCTTTGAGTAATGAAATGGAACTCCGTAAACATACGTTCTTGATTACTAAATGCGAACAATTTTTTTGTGAAATATGAAATTTAAAATGAAATGTTAACGTTGCGAAATAATGTACGATGTTAACTCATTCATGGGATTTGCATTATTTTATATAATTCTGCACCCATATAGCGACACTGTTTCGCGTCTAAACAATTATAGTACTAGGTACTAGTATTGACTGTTAGTGATAGTCTGATCGCCTTCAAATCCGTTAAGTAATTATTAAAATATATCCGATTATCATATTAGCCTTTTCTTTAGAGAAGAGAGACATTCAAATAGTGGAATGTTTTTGAATCTTATATGGATACATTAGTTCATGTAACATCTCTGAATGTAACAATAAATACACTTAATTTCTTTTCAAAATCAATACTTTTATACTTTTAATTTAAATTGTCGAACTTATTGCTTATTACAAAAACCTTATCAACAACAGAGAGATTTGCAAATAGTGGAATGTTAGTGTCATCTAATGTGGATATATTAGTTCATGTAACGTCTTTTACGGTAACTATATATACTTTTAATTTCCTTTCAAAATCAATAAAAGTGTACTTTTAATTAAAATTTACGAAACTTATTGAAATCCTACCGATTATCATATTTGTCTTTTCCCTACGAATGAACGCTTAACTTTTGCCCGATATCAATGTTTCTTTTCGACAAAAACCTTTCCAACAACAGAGAGATATGCAAATAGTGGAATGTGTTGTCACGATGGACTAACAGACCTGACCTCATGTTCACCTTATCATCCTTCACTGGTGCCCCGCCGGCGTAAACCGTTAGCGCAGGCGGGTGCACCAGTACATTAACATCCATAAAAAAGATTTCAAAAAATAGTGGAATGTTAGTGTCATCTTATGTGGATATATTAGTTCATATAACGTCTTTGACTGTAATTATATATACTTTTACTTTCATTTCAAAATTAATAAAAGTACCTATACTTTTAATTTAAATAGCTGAACTTATTGAAATCGAATCTATTATCATATTTGTCTTTTTCCTTCAATTGAACGCTTAACTTTTACCCGATGTCAACGTTTGTTTTCGACAAAAACCATCTCGGTAATGCCAAAAGTATATCATTATTTTCCCGATTCGGTGAATGCGAGAATAACTGTTACAGTCCTGCTAACGGCCGACTTCCTGTTCCACCCAGTTCGGTTACAGAGCAGAATGGAAAATTATTATGTTGGCCCGGTTTGTTATTGTTTTACTCAGCTTTTCCGAATGAAAGAAAACAATTTACATAGAGCGTATAACTGCGGATTTAAAAAAAAAAAAACTGCGGATTACGACTCGTACATTTGCCTGCATTGTATATTAGTAGTTACGCTTCAAATTATACCCGTGTTATTAAAGTTGGTGTGTGTATAGCAGAAATTTAAATATGGTTTTATTATAAATCTTATTGATATTATAAATGCGAAAGATTGTTGGTATGGACGGATGTCACGCAAAAAGTACTGAACGGATTGATGACACTATACAGCAACATATCTTATACATCAGAATAACTAAGCTAAAAATGTCTAAATAGCAAGTGAAGCCACGGCCATAGCTAGTAAAATAATAGTAGATGGCTATGGCCTAGTGCTTTATAACCTACTTATACCAAATAGTTTTAAGTTCAAATCTCATCATCATCATCGCAGCCCGGAAGACGTCCACTGCTGGACATAGGCCTCCCCAAAGATCTCTACGACGATCGGTCCTGCGCTGCTCGCATCCAATGCCTTCCAGCGATCTTGACCAGATCGTCGGTCCACCTTGCTGGAGGCCTTCCCACGCTGCGTCTTCCGGTCTGTGGTCGCCACTCGAGGACTTTACTGCCCCAACGGCCATCTGTCCTACGAGCTATGTGCCCTGCCCATTGCCACTTCAAAGTCGCAATTCTTCGGGCTATGTCGGTAGTTCAAATCTAACCGACAGAAAATGACTTTTGAGTGTCAATGCATAGTTCTAATTGACTCAACGGTGATGGAAATCCGATAACAGACATATCCCCGTGTATCGTATTTGCCTGATTAGACTAATCGTCTTAGAGGATAGAGTTGTCCATTGCTACGTTGAATTCATATTTAAACTTTCGTGTTTAATATACATTATGTATATTATTTACTGGGTCTTAACGACTGGTCGTCTCGTGACCATGACTAGTGCAACCTAGTCGAAACGTCGAGAGAGGTAAATAGCTGTATTTGCCATAAAATTATTCATGTTAAGACCAAGTTAATGATATAAATAATGAATTCAGATATAGCTAGCAAAATGAGAATATATCAAATATGGTCTCACTTGTATTGATATCAAACCTTAACTACACCTCTGGTTACCCCACACGAGATTGCAGTCGTTAATAATAGTCGTAAATGGTTTTATTGAGTAAGTACTTGAGAAGCATTTAATTGCGTAGAGGTCTGTGGCTGAAATAGGTTATGGACTCCTGGTTTAGAGGATCGAGCACCATCCGTAGAGGCTTTACAACTTCACTTATTAGCGACTAGTCTCCGACTGCTATGAAGTCTACACTCGTACAGCGACACGTGTTTCGCCTCTAAACGAGGCATCGTCAGGAAATTTAATCGATCGGAGCTTGAATGCCTAGTGTTGTATGTTGTTTCCAGTTCACTTGCCAGTGAATTAGTCTATATAAAACTAGCTTTCCGTCCGCGGCTTCGCTTCGTGTACTTATAGGTAATCGCGCGTTTAAATATCCGTGCTCAGTAGTGTGTTATTACATAGCTTAAACCTACCTCTTGAATCACTCTATCTATTGAAATAAAACGCATCAAAATTCGCATATTTTTAAGATCTAAACATGTATAAATTGTTTTATATTTTTTAGCGAATTGTATAAAATATAATATATATATATATATATATGTATATATAATACTATCTCGTCATTATCGTCTTGCCTTTATTTTATTATTTAGGGTCAGAGTCATATCGTATTTCACCAATTGATAGAGATCAACGGCATATCTGTTACATTTCTTTTATGGAAGTCATATTATTCACAGTCCATACATCGTTTCTATTCTTCAATCGTCTTCTCTCTTTCCATCCATCTTCATTGGTATTGAAAAACATTTAAATGTTAAATATTTTGCACCGCCAACAATCTTTCTCTGCACCACTCATGGTTGACTGGTAGATAATGCCGCAAGGTCATGCAAGTCTGCCATATTTATTATTGTGAATTTAAATTAAATAAATAAATATATCATGGTCCCCACTCTTCCTCACTCACGGTATATCCATACCAAGATAAAAAAATGACTATACCTATCTTTACTTAGTAATATTGTAAAGATAGAGAGAGCAGTTATTGCACCAGAATTTGTTTATGATGTATAAATGTTCTACATATAGCATAAAAATTATATAGTACAGAGACAGAACTCTTATTTCTCTCTCAGGATGTATGGAGGGTAGGTACTACTCTGACTCAATATATTTTGTGATGTCCATAGTCCATAGATTACTAATGGAGATATTTAGTGTATATACAGCAATAAATATAATTTAATCTGATTTTCATTACAATTACACGTTAGACATAACTGTTACTGAACAAGAACACTGATTATAAATGTGATGGATTATATTTTTTATTCCGAAATCAATGTGCCTAATAGCACAGATAATAAAATATTACATACTAATAGTTACTTGCCATGAGGTAGAGTTGTAGGCTTATTTGTTATTTTAATCACGTAAAAAAACATCGTTCTGCAACTGATTTCTATTTGACCTATAATTATTAATACCATTTAAATATATCACAATCACACGTACATCTATTATCAGTGAAATTTTATTATAATTCCTTTATATCTCAATAATTATACTATATTTTCTTATGAAACTTTACTTTTTTCATTTCCGAGCACTAAGGCCGTGAAAATATGACGTCTTGCATAATACAGCGGGTCCTACATAAGTATTCTTGGCAGTCCCTTTCCAGGATTACAATTTATTGTTGCCATTCATTTTCGTTCATTACAGTGACTAAACCCGATAGACCTTGCCATTCCAAATTGAACCTTATGTAATTAACATTGAGTCTTTCATTAGGAACCCAAACGAGGCACATCGGCAAGAGGGCGTGTTACCAATATCAAGGGAAAGGAATCGATACAAAAGTATCGTTTGGGACGAATATGATACGCTACATCAGAAATATTTGGAGATTGGTAAGAAACTTTACTACTATTACATTACATGTTATATATTTTATACAATACAAAATACGTAATATTCTATTATAACATTTTATTATATAACTCTTATTTAGTCATATAAAACGTATTGTCACCATATTTAACTACGACGTAATCAACAGGAATAGTTATAGAAACAGTTCAGCATGAAAATAAACGTTATGAATTTTAATTTTCGAATAAAATTTGTATGAATTGTATTCTTCTTTTAATATTCAGGTAAATAATTACATAGCCGTGACTTTAAATGCAACTATAATAATTAAATAAAAACGTATTTAAAAATTAAAATACTAAAATATGTTATTTTAAAATTGTTATTTATAAATACTATTATCTAATTTACACAACTTAATCATATATGGGTTTCGATTCTGTAATAAATAAATTTACACAAAACGTAGGCGACATGACAAAGCATGGAGCAGTCCACATAAATATTTAAATAAAGACCTATCGAAAATTATAGTCTACGTTCTACCGTGAGAATTGGGAAACGTGTTTATTATGGGTCAACAAGTACTACTTATCTAAATTGAAAAATATCATTTCTATTTAATGAAATAACTGTAGAGTTTTTACTGTTAATCACTGCTCATTTCCCGCATTAATTGTTTGTTCTGTATATTTCTTAGTCATAATTTCCATGTTAGTATATTCTGACAGACGCATTATTAGAAAATTCGAGAAGGAAATCTTACTAATATTATAAATGCGAAAGTTTGTGAGTATGAATGGATGTTTGTTACTCTTTCACGCAGAAACTACTGAACGGATTTTGTTGAAATTTTACAGCTTATACATCAGAATAACACATAGGCTATAGTTTAAAAAGATATAATGTAAGTAAGTGTGATGCAGACGCAGTTGGGCGGGTCAACTAGTTGAAATTGATATTCATACGAGTGAAACCGCGGGCATAGCTTGTAAATAATATTTAGGGTAGGCTCTATGGTTTCATGGTATAGGTTAAGTATTTTGTACTACAAAATTGTTTGTATACTCTTTATGTAGTTGTAAATTCTATTTATTTTAGTTTATCAACACTAAATTAATTTAGAGCAATCAGATGTTCTACTAAGTCGTTAAATGTTATAAATTATTTCAGACAATTACAACATAGTCCGAACTTAATGTACCTAATATTAAAAAAGCAAAATATATTTCCTTATTGGAATATAAAACATTCACTTAAATAGGAAGAATATTCTTAAATTACGTACTACCTAGAAAGTTGTACTTTAAATTTACAAAACATGATAATTTCTCGAATAATATCAAAAATATTTATTTTAAGTCATTATTTATGTGCATAACGAAAAAGAATATTTCATTTCGGGTTTAAATATTTAATAAACACAACAAAAATGTAAATTAATCCAGCGTGTGTCGACCACGCGCCGTAATATCAATTTTAAAGTTAATTACGTCGACCTTTCCCGTTTGGACCGACACGAACCGCCAATGAAATTCGGCGGTCGCAAAATTCCTTAACCCTTTCACATGCAAAAATTCTATTGCAGGCATGAAGCCGCGGATGAAAAACCATTACCGGGCCCACCAACTGTCCGTATGGCTGCGGTTGATCCCGGAAATCCATAGAGCGGGGATGAAGGACGTGGTAGCGAAGCACAACCTATTTAGAAACCACAACGATCCGGAACTGTACGATGGACTCGTTCGTCCGGACCCGCTGACCCGTGCGAACTATTATGACCCGACTTTAGAGCTTTACCGCAGGCCTATCTATAACGTGACCTTGGACATACCATCTACTACCATGGATACTTATGTCACCACTTGTATCAGCGTGATGTCAGCCAGACCTGGCTCCGCTGTCACACAAAGTCACGTACCCAACAATACTCAACAGGACGTTTCCAATCTCGAAGTTGCTGGATATACAGCGTACTCGACAGCTCTGAGCGTCACTATAGCTATCGGGTGCTCTCTATTGATTCTAAATGTGCTCATTTTCGCTGGCGTTTACTATCAGAGAGATAAAACAAGATTACAAGTAAAAGCGTTGCAACAACAACAAAAGAGGAACCACAACTCAACGTTCGATAGCGTTTCTTCTAAACATCCTCATTATTTTGTAGGGCATTCGCAAAGTTCTAGCACCATCGTTGATATAGATCATCAAGATAAGAACGCTATTATAACTATGTCGAATAGGATGCCGCATTTCACGACTGCAAATTGTCCAAACGTTTGTCATACAGGAATACAAATGTCTAATTTATCGCAAAAACCGAGTCCACCGTCAAACCGAGGTCAATGCACAACGTTGCCCAGAAAAGTGGGGTTTAGCTATCAACAGCAAAACCAGATTTGTAATGCATCAACGTGTATGACATTGCCAAAGAATGCTACATTCATGAGCAGTGCCAGCAATTTGCCAGATGTTCAAGCTCAAACTGGCCAGTCTCAAGGGCCGGGGAACGGATCAGTACTTCCTCCCCCCTCCTCGCCTCCATCCCAACATTTCTCCCAAAAATCAAGAGTGCCACAAGCAGCAATGTCTGAAATGAACGTATGAGAAATGGAAGATATTTACAATTATGTGTAAAGTGTTACAATTAGTGAAGGGACACTGCATAGTGTAACTACTGGACAAAACATGGTTGTAAATATCGAATCGAATAAAATTATTGTAAATAATTAAAAGTGTTACACTAATGTACTATTTATAATACAGGTAATGTTTTAAGGTTTATAGTTGTGTAATATAGTAATTAATAAATTGATAGTAATTGGAATAATGTAAATTGCGACTTTCTGTTCGTCTTGTAAATATTTACTTACTCGTAAATGATTTGATATCATTACCATTGAAAATGGACAAATGTCACAAATTGACACGCGTTATCTCACGTTGAATAATTTTATTACTTTAATTACGGAACTATTACTGTCCTCTTTAATATTGAATAATTCTAATTGTTAATTCATACTATATTACCATTGAAAATGGCGTAATTATTGTAAATAAATTAGAATCTTAAAGACTGTATACTGTAAAATAAGTATGTAAAATTATAATTCCAATTAACAATTCAATTTCAGTTTAAACAATTTATTTTATAATTATAAATATCAGAACAATTAATTAAATAAATTTCTTTAACTAGTATAAATTTATATTTATGTTTTATTTATATGTTTTAATAAATGTATCATTAAATAAAAATATAAAATACCACAACTTTTAGAAGTAAGAAAGAAATGTTTTTTTATCATTAATCATGATTTTCATTTACAATGATTTATAAGAGTTTCTTCATTGACAATGATATGTTACAGTTTCTATATGTGAATATGTAGAAATTGTCTTAACGCAAATGGCCTAACCTTTATGGGACTCAAGCCACTAAGAATATAGCTGTATTTAGGCTAATGTTCAACGATAATGACTGAACCTACCTTCAACGGAGAAGTGATCATTAACCATGGTTTATGTTTACTATTATGGTACTATAGACAATGAGTATGTACCTTAGAAGCCGTGTCTACGAGGTAACTATTTAAACATATTTCTTTAAAATATTTAATAAAATGAATAAATTTCTGTAACAAATATTTTGATAAAAGATGAAATAAGACAAGTAATTGAAAAATATACCTTAACTAACGTGACAATCTAGGTGGAGTCGCCGCCGCCGTAAATACTGCTTTATCTGAATAACAATATGAGGTTCAAATCCCACACAAAGTTTTATTGACATTAATAGATCTATTTGCAATATACTATTACGTATTTATGTTTAAATAATATGTCCATTACATATCTATTGCTTATATTACAAATTAATTTTAACAAATTTTTTGTCTTCTAGTTGATAAAGATAGTTTCGAATGTGCAAGAAAATTTTACGCTAGCAGAAAAGTTATTCTGTTCGAATAAAGTGTTTACTTGTTCAGAGATGGCCCGATGAACGGTATAATTAACTGAAAGCGTCAAAGAAAGCAACTTAGCTGGAAGCTGTTATTCCGTTTAGCTCGTTCCATAATCACAGACTCAATAAAAACAAGTACTCCTTGCTCATTCTATGAAGACAGTTAATTTACTGAACTACACAAGTTTATTGCATTCCAGTTTTATTTCATTCAAGTTTTATTTATTTCTGTTTTATTTATTAGAATTTCACCTACATTTCAGAATACGGCGTCGCTTAACTATTCAGGCGTGAATTTTGTTAAAATACTGCCATATTTCCTTGCAAGATAGACCTGTCGCCTCAAACTATTCGAGCAATTTAATTTTCAATTCCGCTCTTCAGGCGGTCGGGTACGAAAATTTATAAAACGGGATGACGTGCCACCTTTTGTGTCTCTGATGACGCAATAAGGGGTTACCCATTATGTGGTAATTATTTACCTCAGAGATAGTGAAACCTCTCAACTCTTAGTGTAAAACGTCGGTTACTTAAACTCTTGTTTTGTAAAAAGTAATCTATTAATAAATTATTCGAATTGAATTAACGACACTTAATATAAATTATATTAATATTTATTGAAATAAGATGCATATCTATATATGTTTATTTTATATATATATATATACTATCTGATCTGGCAAACGTTGCTTTGCAATATAAATTAATACTGTTATTAAAAAAATGATGGTAGAAACGTGAAAGATTAGTATTGATTTTTTTTAAATGTCCTAAATATAACAAACTATGTTTGGGGTGGACAACTACTGTTAAAAATTAAAAAATGCTATTTTCATAAGAATAGAAACGTGAAAACGATTATTTTTGTTATATAAAGCTAATGTTGCAATTATATATTATTCGCTGATTAGAACCTGTATCCTTTTTCAATTACTTGCCTTTTTGTCAATAAAATACTTATTATAATTATTTAAGCTGGAAATTTTGTTCACTAAATTTTTGAATAAAAACTGTTAAATAAAATAAAACATAAATTTAAAATTGAACGCAATTTTTAAATGTTTCATTTAAATTTATTTTATTTGTATATTTTGTAAATTATACTTTGTTAAACAAAATGCATAAGCGCGTTTTGTATATTGTATTTATTTATTTTCTAAGTGGTATATTGTAATATTTTTTATGTAAAGAGAGTCATATTATCGAAACATGTTGAGATTTATATGATAACAAGTTATCTAACCGTTACTACGAAATCTTATGACAAGTATCAAGATTAAAAAAATAAGAGAAATAAAATTCATTAAAAACATTATAGTGTTTCAATTTATTATCGTCGTAGGTTGTAATTATTTGTTGTAATTACTGAGTAGTTGCTCACTAAAATATCCAGACATGTGGCGGCGTGGTGGGCCGGGTCATTGGGATCCCTAAAACATGGTCGGGCGCAGTGATGGCTGGCTCATCCGTCATACTCGTGAACGAGTGCTGCTTCTAGGGACTGGTCTGCTCTTATCACTATGACTGATTTAATCTTATTGTTTATTTATATTTTACCCTAATAAATTAGTGCTGGTTGGTAGTTTCTATTCACACATTTCGACTTGTAAATGTGAACTTACAAGGATTATTTAAAAGAGCAATACACAAGTTTCTTGCTCATCCTTCTTGTAATGAGACAGCTTTTCCAATGAGCGGTAGATTAAAAAAAATGCTATGACTATTCAAAAGTGCTTACATTAATTTTATTTGAATAAATGATTTTCTATTCTATTCTATTCTTTACTGTTATTAGCTTGTCTATGTGTTCTAGATTACTTTAGAATTAAAAACTTAAATACTAATGATCGATTGGAATCTGTACTAAAGAATTTTGTTGCTATTTTTCTTCGAACTACTCCAACGCCCTTTATAGCTTCGCTGAATGGTAGGGGGCGAGTGCAGATGGCACTCCAAATCCGCGGAAGCACTTAAACGAGCGGCTGAGGGCCAACTCCTGCCTGATGGATACGACTTTAGTCAAAGGGCACTAGGGGTTCGAACCACGGCTCAGACCGAATTTCGATCCCTGTTCGAATCGGACAGGGGATCGATCGGAGGGGTTGTACATTTAAACCTAAAACGAAAATATAGCATGTTGTAGAATCTGTATACTGATATCTAACCGTATAATGGAATATATGGTATATATGGTGAGTATCAGAAACAGAATGAATCAGACATATTTTTTTTTATAATTTATAATAGTTCTAAGTAAGTAATTTTTTGTTACATTATTTCAGTGGTATTTAACCTCGGTGATCTAGCGGTCTAGCACACCGCTTTACGTCCGATGGTCGCGGGTTCGATTCCTCGCACGACACAAACATTTGTATTCATGAGTATGATTATTTGTGTCGGTCTGGTTGTTTTCTATGTATATTATGTATATATTTACGAAAAAAAAATATTTATGTATTTGTATCAGTTATCTAGTACCCTTAACACAAGCTTTAGCTAGCTTAACTTGGGTCTAGATGGCCCTGTGTGAATTGACCTGTGATTATAATTATATTATTTATCTTAACATTCTGTTAAATTAAAAAAAAATACTCTAAAGAAAAAAAACAGGTCAATAACGTTAAATAGTTTTTCATAAAGGATAGGGTAAGCTATTGCATAGTTTACTGTATCATTTTATTTAATCAAAAGTTATCGTACAATTTGTGTTTACTAAGAAATATTTATTTACTTCTAAAAAAAAATGAGCTCTCAAAACCAAGAATCAATAAATAATGCACTGCAGTTCCGTTAAAAAAATATACCTAAGTCTAAAACACTACGAAAATAAAACGCCCATACCAGTAATCGTATAGTTTACTGTCAACGTTATCGTATAAAAAAATTCTATAACGCTCGAAACTTCGAGAATCGAACCCAATTTGAACAATGAGCTAGCCCCACTTCACACTTTGTACAATGTATAACAAAAATATAACAATAAATAATGCACTACAGTTCCGTTAAAAAAATATACCTAAGTCTAAAACACTACGAATATAAAACGCCCATACCCGTGTGTTGAAGAGGATGGCCATTTCCTTCTGAAAGGCACTCTACATTTTCCACTGTAAAGGATGCCCAGACAGTCTATAAAACACCTTTGACAAAGTTATCTGCCCCATCTTTTTCACGGTATATATTACGGCCATTTCAGCTGAAATGGTTACTAAAAAGCTGTACTCGGCAGATTTTTGGAACCAATTTTTTACTTACTTACTGAGAACTAGTTGGAATTATAATTACTACTAGTCGATTAGTGGTCGATATTTGACCATATTAATTTAAATCATAAATTTTTTTAACAGTTTATTATCTGTATTAATTGTAAAAATGTAATTAAAGATAATAAACAAATTGTATCTTGAATATTATATGAACTTAATAATCATAAATGATTTTCTATTCTATTCTATTCTACTAGTAAGATAAATATTTGACGCAAATGTATATAAGTTAATTTACATATATGCATGTATGTGTGTCAAATACATAGTAATGTGTGTGTTTGCTGGAAGAATATTGCAATGTATAGTTTTTTTTTTATGGTAAATGATTACCGCCTCCCATGAGCACCCGCAACACCAACGGAATTGCCAGTACGTTGTCGACCTTTTAAAAAGGAATAAGCTCGGAATATCGTATCGGTTCAGAAATACCATTGCTGTAAGGTGATTCCACAATGTGGTTGTGCGTGGCAAAAAGTTTCTAGAAAATCGCACTGTGGATGACCGCCATTCATCCAGATGATCAGGAGATCATCTGGATGAATTGATGATGGTATTTTAGTTTCTGGTGGGTGGTACGGTGGTGAAACTCAGCAGCTGGTATTAATCCGAACAATTCCTCAGAACACTCCCCGTGATATATGCGGTAGAAAATGCACAGAGATGCAATATCTCGCCGCAAAGCCCATGGGTCGAGTCTGTTACATAAACGTTGATTACTAATAATTATCAATTGAAATAAAAAAATATTTAGAATGTATTGTACATTGATTTTAATAATGACGCCACGGA